CGAACCCGCGACCCTCAGATTGCGAGTCGAGTGCCTTAACCTCCTGGCCATGCCGAGCCAGGGTTTGTTTGTAATTAAGCACAAAGCTACACAATGGGCTATCTGTGCTCTGCCCACCACGAGTATCGAAACCCGGTTCCTAGCATTGTAAGTCCGCAGACATACCGCTGTGCCACTGGGAGAGGGGCAGTGTCGATGAGGAAACTTCATTACAAAAATACATCAAAATACAGTATGGTAATATGATGAAATATATTATTTGAAAAATACGTTTGTGCAATATAAAATAAAATGTAAATTTCATAATTGTATAAAATATATATATATATATGGCATGCTTTTGCAAAAGTAAATTTGTTTTTTGCTCTTTCTTCCCCTTCTCTCTTTTCTCCTTTTTTTTTTTGTGGGCACAGAAGAAATTTCGGGGGGTTATCCCCACCCCCCCTGTCTATAGTCTTAATATGCATTGCATGGACGTGCAATAGAGAAAGGCGCGTAAAAAAACAAATAAATAAGAACACTTTTAAACTTGAATATTAGTCGAATTACGATAAAGCTTTATAACTGAAGTGCTTTCAAATTGCTATATTGGACGTTAGCCTCTAATAGTGATTATAATTTTCAAGTTTGTTTGTTTTAGAGCAAAGCCACATTTGGCTATCTGTTGTATCAACCGCGTGTAATCAAATCCCGGATTTTAACGTTTTAAGTCCGTAAACTTACCACTGTCCCACCGGGGGACTACTTTTCAAGTATTCCTTTGTATCAGATCTATAGTGCGAAAGGAAATGTAGCCACCTATAAAAGAAAATGTGCAAATCCAGCTAGAAAAATATATTATGTAAGCAGTTTCGCAAAATGTAACGAAACTTTAGACACTTAACAGTTGTAACCGACGATGGAAAAAGTAAAACAAACCTACCGAGTGAAAAAGGATCGTAAAATGAAATGATTTCAGTAATGATTCACGTACTTAGCCCCTCGGTAGCTCAGCGGTAAATCAGGGGTATTAAAACGTTAAGAATCGGGATTCGATACCTGTGGTTGGCACAGTACCGATAGCTTATTGTACGGCTTTGCGCGTATAACAGAAACAACAAAAACGTATCTAAAATATATCCTCTGGTGGGTCAGTGGACTTACAATTTTAAAATCCAGGGTTCGAATCCCCGCGGAGGACAGAATACAGATAATCCATAGTGCATCTTTGCTCTAAGTAAAAACAACAACATTCATATAATCGTTCCAGCTTTGATTCAATACTAAGTACTTTATACATACGAAAAATAATGTTGTTGTTTTTTTGTGCTTTTTAGAAAACACGAAGATGATCTATATTGATGAAACGGAACCGGAAGAGGGCGGTAAAGTATATATTATGAAATGTTTATTATTTAATAATATTTGATATATTGATGAAACGGAACCGGAAGAGAGCGTTAAAGTATATATTATAACATATTTATTATTTAATGGATATCTGATATATTGATGAAACGAAACCGGAAGAGGGCGGTAAAGTATATATTATAACATATTTATTATTTAATGGTATCTGATATATTGATGAAACGGAACCGGAAGAGAGCGGTGAAGTATATATTACAAAATATTTATTATTTAATGGGAGAGACAAAAAAAAATTAACAGAAGAAAAATATAAGACATTATAATTTCACACTAAAATGTATTGAGCTGAACATATCTTAAGTTTAATTGTTTTGTTTTTTATGTTTAACAAACGTCTCTTGGAAGAATGAATTCTCGAAAATGTTACAGTTAGTTAATAAAATACACTTAGTACAATATGTTGTTTTGATATTAGTTCAATCATGTTTTTGTACAAAAAAATACACTTACTACAATAACAACTACTTATTATACTGGACAACAAATTGATAAATGATGTAAAAAAATCGTAAAATAAATGCTCTGACAAAAAGGAAAAAAACAACAACTATTTATTATACTGGACAACAAACTGATAAATGGTGTAAAAATCGTAAAATAAATGCTCTGACAAAAAAGGAAAAAACAACAACTATTTATTATACTGGACAACAAACTGATAAATGATGTAAAAAAGTCATGATAATTTGTTTATTGATTGTCTCTGGTGTATTTTCTAGAAACCGAAACTCCATTTGAACCAAGAAAAATTTTTGTTAAGAAAGGCAAAGATATAAAGGAGGAGTATACTCTTCTTGAAGAATTAGGAAGGTAAAGCATACTTTTTAATACTTGAATCTGTAACAAATCAAAAACAGTTGTTATTCAACAGACAGAAAAACGGTGCAAGTACTTGTTGACTGGGAACTGGACGGTCGCCTTCTAATGGATTCGTGAATTGATCAACTAACGTTTCCCTTCCGAGATGTTTTTCCATCAACCAACTCACTTGAGATCCTATGTAGGCTGATAAAATCTAATGTTTCTTGCTTAATGGGAATCATGGGATTTATCCATAGCGACTAGCGTTATGCACATGAGTGGCTATGCTTATTTAATACAGGGGAGACCGTAATCTCCAGATATCATCTGCTCTACCAGTGAAGGACACTACTGTCGTTCACCTTCTTGCAGCGTTACAGCAATAATCCCCGAGGGCGGAGTGGGTATAATCTCTAAGGAATAACTAAGGTACAAAGACAGTTTACTTAACGATATTCTGGACCACATATTATGCGAAAATTGCATAAGCTAAGAACAAACGAAAACGTTTGACGAATTCACACTAAAGTGAGAAGGTAGTAAACTTATGGTAAGCCTGAATACCACAACCCTTTCGTATTGTGTAGTTCTAATTATCACAGTATTTCTAAAAGCTCATCTCATATGCTTATTTTTCATATAGCGTTTATATCACTATGGTCTAGCAATATACCCATATGGTTTGTTCGTTTGTTTTGGAATTTCGCGCAAAGCTACACGAGGGCTATCTGCGCTATCCGTCCCTAATTTAGCAGTGT